CTGGAACTTGCCTTCTAGAGTGAGAGAAACATATGAATAACAAATACATGCATCAGACTACACTGGATAATGCTTTTGGTGAAAATATAAAAGGAGTTACAGGAGTACCTGAGAGGCCATTTTTGGTTGAGTGGTCAATAGAAGTCTCTAAAGAAAGGGACTTATAACTTGAGACCTGCATGACTGGAAGGGACCAGCTTTCACAGCAGTGTTCCAGTCAGCGTGAACAGCAAGTGTAAAGATCATGAAATAGGAGCAGCCTTATTATATTCAGAAAACTAAATAAAGCCAGTCTGAATGGAGTATGTGAGCTGAGAGAAAATGGCACTGGATGAGACCAGTCTGGAGAGGCAGGCAGAGGCCAGATCCTGTTGCACATTGTGGGCCAACATAAGAAGTTGATTTTTATTAGTAATCAGAGGCAAATGGAAACTGCTGTAATTTATCTGTTTTAAGGTGGGGAGTAGCACAATCAGATTTGAATTTTAAAAAGTTCAATCTGGCTGCCACAGTGAGAATGAATTGTAGGGATGCAAGCAAGGAGACCAAGCTGGGAAGCAACTGTATTAGTTGAGGAGGTATGTGACAGTAAGCTTGGATTGGGGTAGTAGCTATGGAGATGGGGAGAAGTGATTGGATCCTAGGTATGTATTGAAAGATGAGCTGACAGGAAATAGTGATGCACTGGATAAGAGAAATAGTTGAATAAAGGATGACTCCTATGGCTTCAATCTAAGCAACCAAATGAATTATGATGCTGTTAACTGAGAGAAAGAATACTTGGAGAGGTGTAAGGATTATAGTGTCTACTTCAGAGAATGTTGACAAGCACTTAGCACCACTGCTGACACAGTGTAAGCACTCAATACATTCTCTCTTATTTCTACTCTTACTACCATGATATTGAAGATGATGAAACCAGTATTCATAGGGGTTAATGAACTTGCCCAGTGATGCTTGGCTGTTAAATGGTGGATTTGAGACTTGGACCCATGTCTGTTTAGCTCATGCACATTATCAGTCTTCTCCACAGTCTTTTGTCCTATTACCTATTTTTACTGTTCTTCATAGGTATCTGTACCTCACAGCAAATGAAGTATGATTAATTCCTGCCTGTATCAAGTTCTGTGATTCTGTCTGTTTTCAGTTTCCATAGTATACCGTATTGTCTGTGATGAGGATGGAATTCTATTGATTAAAGAGTAACAACCAAGGGGTTTGGAGTAGATATTCTAAGTTCATGATAAATGAGGATCAACTTAAAGCAGGAATTTCTAGAGATAAAACCACACTACTTGGCTTATACAGTTTAAACCACTTTGTGATCATTTATCCATTTCTAAACATTATACAACCATGCTTATAAGGTGTTTCCTACCAAAGAAAAGAGATGGAGGTATATCCTTAACTGACTCTTTTTGTCTGTTTACTCTGACTACCAAACCTCCCAAGATAGATAGTTCATGATGAATCGATTAGAGAAGCAAATACATCAGTATATGACAAAGTGCTAGAATAAATATAATACAGTGCCATAAGGACAAGATTATGTTTCTGAAGAACACATTGCATGAAACTGCTTCCCTCCACTCACTCTAAAGGTGAAATATTTCATGGTGGTAGAAAATGAGAGCATATTCTTTCTGAACTACAGATTTTCTTTTTAATAAAAGGATATTTTTCAGCCAATATCATTTCAGGTCTCAGATATCTATTAGTCATTAAGCAAATATTTATTGAGCAACTACTTTGTGAAATGTACCAAAAAAGGCAAAGTGAATGACTCGTACCTTCTGACAGAGTAAAAGGGATTGAATTAGGACACATAAACAAGTTACCGTCAAACAAGTATAGCTCAAACCAAAAAGGCAGGATCCCATGTGGTTCAGCATAGAATTATATCCTAGGAAATAGTCCAGCAACTAGACATAATTTTTAAAGTATGAATATTTAAGTATTTACTAAAGCCCTTTGAAAAATATTGAGGGGGAGCAAATTTGTAAACCTGCAGCAATATTTAAAATCATCTTTTCATAATACTTTCATGCTCAATATCTCTTACATGCTGCAGCTGCCCAGAAACCTTTCTCATCACTCCTCATTCTCATTCCCAACTAAAAAACTTACCCTGGAATGTATGCCCTGCAAGTCTTTACTCTCTTTGTCCTTTTTTATGCTGTATCACTTGTTTTTTCCTTGCAAGCAGCTCTTGCTCCCCTTTCCAATGTAATTTAGTTAAACTAGCATTGTTCTTTGCAATTTTTTTGGTCTTTCTGCTCATTATGCCTATTCTGCACAGTTCTGTGCAGGAAAAGCCCAGGAACCAATCTGAAATACCAAGAATCTCCAAAGAAGTTGCTGGATTTGGAGAATCCTATGCAGACAAAAAGAAAGTTATCTTTACAGAGGGCAGGGAGAAGGGGAAAGCTGCCAACACTAACTTAGTATCTTTTTATTTCATCAGAGAAAGGGAAAAGTGCTCTAAGAAGATAGAGATACAGTAAAGAGTAAGGAAAAAACAGCTTTGACCTACAGAATCAGGAGTGTTTGAGATGGTGCTTGAGAATCTAAACAGGTGGCAATAGTAGAGGCCTTCTGAGGCAGATGGAACAGTGTTCAACACAAGGGCAGTGAAACCTGGCCTATTTCACACAGGAAAAAATGGAAGTCAGTTTGACTAGAATAAGGATTTAGCAGTGCCTTTTTTCTGAATGTGAACCTAACAATAACTAACCTTCAGCTTCATGGAGGTTTCAGATATATTTTTGGAACATGAGACTGTAAGTCGTAGACCAATTCTTAGAAAAGAAGCTAAAAGATGCAACTAGTGAGCACCTTAACTTGTAGTCAAATATCAGTGTGTGTTTTCAGCAGATGCTGTTTCCATGGAGAAACTACATGTTTAAAGGGGATAAATTCCCTCCTCAGTATGACTCTACCCTGATTAAGGAGATGGCTACTGACCTCAGCATTGTCGATTAGAACATACACTCCAACTTGTTTTCTCAGGAATGGAGGTGAATTCACATGGAACCATCTCCACTGTCACCACTGTAAAGAGTGATCCACCTTGGTAAAACTTCTGGTTAAAGTTTGGTGTGTATAGTCTGTATCTATGGTTATGAAATAGAAAAGCTAAGTAGGAGAGTGATATGTAGTTCCACCGCAGGGCCTTGATCTCATTAAAGCAAGACCCAGGTTAACACTAACTTCCACGTGCTCATTTCCAGACCACATCATGTTCTTCAACACTTAGGCAACATACACTTATCTGGGTAGAGATGCCTTATGCATTTATTTTTCAGCCCCATTATGCTGCCCCCCTCCAAATGCGTTCTTCCTCTGACTCCCTATAAAGGAGAGTGGTTTGGCCATATTTCATATTTACATTCATCTCTTATTCTCAGGTGAGCAGTTTTTCTCTGTCTCCTCCATTTTAACTGGGTCTAAAGTTTACCCATGGATGATGCCTTCCTGCCCTTTCCACACACACAGCAGGATTTCTGTACATGTTAGTTGCTGATTTATTGGCTGTAACCCTCAGATCACTGGGGTCTGGTGCTTTTTAATTCAGTCACATGAACCTCACACACCCCCAATGTGTTAAGTTTTGCCAATAGAAACAGAACTGGATAGTGGGAAGAAAATTATTACGAGATGACAGTGCAAAGAATGATGCTGGGAACATCAGTATTTTACAGCAGGGTGCAAAGTCACAGAAAATTCTGATTTTTAAGGCATTTAGGGAAGTTTCCTATTTGGTAATGTCTTTGTACAAACAGTCTGGCAAACTTTTGACTTTGATCCCACATGACATAAAGCGAAGATTAAAAAGCATTGTTGTTCCTAAATAAAATATGGCTTAAGTTATTTTTACTTTCCATTATTTTACAGAAAGGTGTAGCCAAGATTGACTTCCCAGTCTGTGAGTAGGTCATTAGAAAGAGGGAGATCAACAGAGGCACTTTCCCTGGTCATTCCCTTTCATGGCTTTGCCTGTCATTACCTCAAATGCAAGCCTAGAGAGGATTGTTAACATTTTTCCAGAGGTAAAACTCACTGATTTTGACCAAGAAATTGGCCCCTACGAAATTTACATCCCCTTCCTTTGCCTATTAGAGCTGGGTCTTTCTTCCAGCAATGTTTTCAAAGCCCTCTTACTGTTTAACTGCCCATCTCACTAAGCATGCTAGCCCAAGGACTCAAAGACCAACTCAGATCACCTCTGTTGGGTTGTTGAGGATATTTGGTGATAGAAGTGGAACTAATTTTAGTTTATGAAATCCTTTCCTCTGGACTTAGAGGAAACTTTAAAATGGGTATAACATAAAGTCATGAAAATGTCATTATCATTCCTTAATCCTACCACATATAAAACCCAAATCCAAAGAAACGGAATCTTTTCTTGAAAAAAATAGATTATGAAAACAAGTTGTGACACCAGGGATTTGAGTGTGGTGTGCCTCCTAGAACTGTTCATCTTCCTTTCTAGTGTCCCCTCCTAGGCTCCCACTGCCTTCCCCTTTGGTTTTCTTTCAGTTGAGCTCTATGCTAACTGGGTCCTCTGTACAGTTTGATGACCCTTTCCTACGCCCCACCCCAACTCCCCATCCCCAAAGAAGTTATTCTAAATGTGTAATTGCCCTTCAAGTCCCCACACCCACCCAAACCTTCTGTCATTAGTTTCAGGTGCCTTGTCTATGGAACAAACAGGCAGGAACACTCTTGGTTTCCCATCCCTTTGACACACAGATCAGTGTCTGCTTTCCTTCTCTCTTCCTGTCTCAAAGGAAGAGGTGGCTTTTCCAAACCTACGTGAGCCAATAAATTCACTTCCTTTTATTTTTTTGTATACTTGTGAACAATTATTTATTTTACTTTTACAACACAGAAGTAGCCAAAGTACAAGCCCTCTATTCTAACATACCTTTTCTATGCTTACTCAAACATTTATCCATAATATAAGGCAAACATAATTAAACCTATATATGTACATATCAGACATGTACACACTTACAGAATTTTGTGGGGGAATTTTGTTTTACACATCTTAGGGACCCCGTGCAGCCTGGGATACTGCTGAGTATGCCCCCCTTGCAACTGTCTCCCCTGTTCTGACTACTCTTAAGTACCTTGTCGCCTCCATGGTTCCAAAGCAAGGCACATGTGGCACTATCTGGAGTTATTTCTGATTGTCACAACTGCCGGAGGGGGAGTTGCTGCTTACCCAGAGAGTAGTGGTCAGGGATTATGCTGAACATTCTACAGTATACTAGACAACCCCCTGCAACAGAGAATTATCCAACTTCAAATGTCAAGAATGTGAGGTTGGGAAAAGCTGCCCCAGAAGGATACAAACAAGCCCAAGGACGTTTCTGACAAGTGCAAGCTAGGGATCTAGGGGTCCTGCCCCTAGTCCTGATGGTTGTCCATACCTCCCCATCAGGAGGTATGGGCCACCATCAGGAGATTGCCCAATAGGAGACAGCCCAGAGTCACATCCATCTGCTGCAGAGATGGGCTGGAGCCATGACGTCTTTAGTCTCTAGGTGCACGGTCCCGGTCCCTAGGTGATGTCCAGGGCTACTTCTTCAGTTGTCGCCATCTGGTCCAGATGTTACAGCTCTCCATCCTCCCCCTGTGGGTTAAATCATGCATATTATAAGCTTAGTCATGAGGAGGGAGATGCAGACCATCCCTCCCTCACCCTCTGGAAATTGATTTCCCACTGGGGTATGTTTTGTTCCCCATTTCTGATTCAGTGAGTACTTTGTAACCAGATTTCCCTCCCACCATTATCCCAGTGATGGGTTGGGGGAGAGAATCCCTCAGGATGGCATCATGCCATGGTGGGTGGTCTAGACCAGCCAACCCTCAAGGCACTGTCAGTTGCTGACTCACCTTCTTGGCAGTGACATGAGTTCCCTGTTCATATCTGACTGTCCTCAGTTCTGTCTACTGGGGACTGGGGAGGGCTCTCCTGTCATGGGTCTGAATAGCTATAGCACTCGTCACCTGAAGCTGGTGCTGGTGTCCTCTGTACACAGTCCTGGGGGATTCCCTTTGGTGGGAGGGGCAAATCTCTGCCATGTTGTAAACCCAGGGTAATCCCAGGTCTGTTTTGTTTCTTGTGCCATAACTCGCTCAGAACTTGAGTGAGCTTCCTGTCCAGTTCATTCCTGGAGACCCTTGGGACGCAGGAACCCCCACTACTCGCCGCTCTCTGATCACATCCCCAGCCAGTTTCAACATTTTGTTTGGTCTCGTTTGCACCTGCACTTCTGGTGCAACTTCTGACTTGGAAATAATCTGGTTTCCCAGAGCAAGAGCCCAGGCAAATTAGCTTAAAGAAAAGTGTATCTGTGTAAAGTGGATTTTCACACAGCACAATTTCAGGAAATGGAAAAGTGGACAGGCTGCAACTCTCTCCATCTCTGGGATTGCAGGAGTAACTCTCTTCTGTGACCTGAGACCTCATACTGCCATTCTTGAAAAGAAACTTGGCTTCTGTAAAGCACCAGTTCTGCTCCCACACAGCTAGGGCCAGGCCTCAGCTGTGGCCTCCATGTCCATGGCTCTGACCTTGGCCTCAACTCCAAATGACCCACTGCTTCCTTGCCCAACACAATCCTGACTATGGAATCTGCCTCTCTGTTCAGATTCTCTAGTGTGAGAATATGCTTGGCTCAGGATGGCTCAAATGTCCACTCCTACTCCAATCTTCTATGGCCCAGGTGGGGGAAGGGTGTGGGTTCTCATATACATGCCTGCCTGGGTCGGGGAGAGAGACACACACACATAGGGGCTGTAGTTCTGGGGTGTCAAATGCTAATACTCTGGGAAGAAAAGGGGTCATCAAACTGTCTATTTCTCTGTCTCTGCCCCTAATCCCCAATCTACAATCTCCCCTGCCACCAACCCATACCGAACCTCCCAGTCTCCTTCTCCATCTCTCACAACCCCCTTGCCTCATTCACTTACCTACCCACCCTTTCCCCCCATTCTTCTCAAACCTTTCCCTCTCTCTCTCTCCCACTCCCTCTGAATATTGACTTTCCACTGAGGTATGTTTCTGTTCTATTTAATATTTCTGAACTCACTGGGGGCTTTGCAGCCAGATTTCCCTCCCACAGCAGAAGCAAATTTCCCTCTGTGAAAAATGTATGGCTTTATACCAAGGGCAGTCCCAGTCTCCTAGCCTATGAAATATTGGAGGTCTTCTCTGCTAATAGGGAGCGGAGGCTCTCCTGTCTCTTTGGGGTTCTTGAGGTTCATATCCCTGGGCCCCCATATAAGCCCACAAGTTAACTTCAGAAGGCCCCCAGCGGGGAGCTGCCTGAGATGGAGCTCCTGCTGTGAACGTGGCTGCTGATGTAGATTGTGTGGGTGCTGGTGGGAAGAAGGATAAGGGGCGGGAGTATGAGCATGTGAATGAGGCAGGGAAATGGACAGAAGTGGGTGCTGCTGAGGCTGTGGACCCCTGCATTATCGTCCCAGAGGAATAAAACCTCTCTGTTTCCACTGACCTGAGATCTCCCTCCCTCTGCCTGCCAGAGGTGTGAATGTTCTGCTCTACAGCTCCTGGAAGCTGGGTGGGGTCCCCAGCAGGCTCCTTTGTGGTCTCTGCCCTCTCAGCATCCTTCAGTTTTCCTCCTCCTTCGGCACCAGCAGTGGTAACAGTAGCAGCAGCTGTCCCCGCCTGGTCTTCCTTCTCACCTGCTCCTTCTGTCCCGGCCCCACTGGTGCTGGCAAGGCCTGGCTCCTCTGCGACCTGCGTCTCGGCAGCCTGCAGGTTCTGGGGAAGTGGGTAGGGATGAGACCCGCTCTGGGGACGGGGCGGGGGGGGGGGGGGGGGGGTCCGGTTGCGGTTATCTTACCATCTGGAAGATCTTCCACTGCAGGAGATCGCGTTCTCTCTGCACCTGTGCCAGCTTGGACTTGGCCTGCCACAGTTGGAAGACTATGTGCTTGTGCTCCGTTTTCTCCTCCTCTGTGAGCTCCTTCACCTGTCCGGCCAAAGCCACCATGGCTGACTTGTGGAGTTTGATGATGTCATGAAGATACTGTACCCTGTACCTGTGTAACTGGCCCTGCTTGTGGGCAAAGCGCATGCCCAGGGCCAGGCTACTCCAGGCGCAGGCCTCTTTGGCCTCGTCGGGGAGCGTGCTGTCCTCCAGGACGGCCTTGAGCTTGCCCTCCACCTGGTCCCAGGACAGGGCTGCATTCACGAGGAAGAACTCAGGGCCTTTGGCGTGCCCCGCCATCTTCTTGTTGATGAAGGCCGCCACTGTGCTGTGCTGGAACCCACTACCGGGGCCCTCCCGGGTCATGGCCATGATGGCTGAGGGCCTTACAGGCTTCGCTAGCTCTGAAGGAAGGAATTAACCAGTTATCCATCTCCCTTCCTGCTTAGCCCCTCCCCCCCCACCTTGGTCTCCTCACATCCCGTGATCCTCTCCCTCCCCCTCAAACCCTCATAAAGTTCCCCCGATGCTTTGCCCCACCCTAGTACACCTCTCACCACCAACTGCCCTGGTATACCTCCCACCAGGCCTAACCTGTCCAGCTGGGGCCATAGGAAGTATAGGCCAACCACACTCACCTATCAAGCCCAGAGAGAGAGATCCCCTCTCTCCCTTCTTCGACTTTGAGGAAAGGCAGGCTTGGGGCGGGACACTCGATAATTTATCCTAGGACTGTTCCAACTTCCAGAGATAGCAGGGGTGGGAGAGAATGCGCAACAAAAGTCTCTCCCTCTCAGGAAAGAAGCAAACTTGATACACTGTTAAAAGTCCTTGGAAGCAGTAAGAAACAGGAGGGGATCAGGAAAAAAACTTAGAACCAAGAATGCAAAGCACTTATAATCAAGGTAAAAAAGTACCGCCCCCTCACGCCCCATCATAATAGTTTGTCCCGCAGCCGGAAACCCTCCGCTCCTGGAGATGAAAAGTTTTTATAGAACAGGAAACAGTCCCCACCCTCGCAGTAGCGTGTCCTGCCTCCTTCCCAACAGGATTACATACCTCCAGTTCTAGATACTCCTGAATTCTGATACAAACTTTTTCTGTAAAGGGGCAAAGAGTATAGTAACTTTGTAGGCAAAGAACCTCTGTGGCAGTTACTTATAGCACAAAAGCAGTCATAGAGAATATTTGAAGAAATAAGCATGGTTATGTGACAATAAAACATTACACAAACACACACACACACACACACACACACACACACACACACAGGCAGCTGGCAGAATTTGGCTTGTAGTTATACAAATGCTCATAACTCACCCTTCCCCCCAAGAGATGATTCTCCTATATTCCTATGTTGTTCAGTATAGAAATCTCAAAATCATGAACACCACCTCCCTATAATAACATATCATATCAGTCATCAACTCTTGCTGCTACTACTTGAGAAATTTCTTTGACATCTACTCCTGTTTAGGAAATGTTCATGTTGCTTCCTAAATAATCTCTGACTGCAGTCTCTTCCTAATTCCTAATCTCTTCCTAATCTTTCTTATGATGATGCTACTTTCAAGGTTAAACATATTTGATGGCTGCCTATGATACACTCTGATGTTAGAATCGTGCTGCAGTTGAGCTTCATAATATAACTCAACAGTCTCTTCTTTCCCATCATTTATGTTCCCAAGGGACTAGCCGTGCAGAGTTATGCTCATTTTGGGTTTTAATTTAGCTTTCCATCTGAAGAATCAGGTATTTATTATTTATTATATGGGCATTATATTCCATTCTATGATCTACAATAAAAAAGGCAATATTTCTTTTCTAAGAGTTTCAGGTCTGGTACTAAGACAAAAAGTAGTACATCAAGCATTTAAATATTACCTAAAAAGGTGGTTAAATACCTGAAGTATAGATCCCACTGTTTCTGCTCTCTTTTAAACTGTTAGCTTGTGGTTTCTTTCCATTTCAATTTTTGTATTTTACTTATCAGCCCTCAATGGGGAGGATTCATGTTTTGGCTTGTTCTAGAGTGACTTCTGCAGAAAGAGCTTTCAGGAGATACTGCAGGAATTGGAATGGCAAGGAAACGGGAGATACTGGACTCAGGGAGACTCATTAGGGGGATGCCACCATAATTCAAGATGTAAACTGCGGCAGTGGAAGTTGGGGTGGAGAGAATGTTGTAGTGACCCATTTGGTAGATAAAATTCATGGAATGTCAAGGATGGGGATGAGAGAATGAGTAGGATAATTCACAGGTTGCTGTTATAGGGAACTAGGTGGATAGTGGTGCTATAGACTTAGATGGAGAATGGAGAAGCTCTTTGGGGTGAAATTGCCTTTAGATATATTGAGATTGAGATGCCTGTGGGGGTATCCTAATAGACCACATAGGCTAATACATACATGAGTCTACAATGTGGAAAAGACATCAGCTAGAAATGTAGGATTGAGAAGTGGAAGTTGGATTCAAAGCAGTAGTTGAAATAACCCAGGCAGAGGATATAGGGCAACAAAAGCAGAGTGCTGAGGACAGATCCCAGGCCTGCCTCTATCAATTTCTTCCTTCCTACCTCTATCCACTTTCTTTTTTCTATATTTTTTAATTAAGGTATGATTGATATACACTCTTATGAAGGTTTCACATGAAAAAACAATGTGGTTACTACATTTACCTATATTATCAAATCCCCACCCATACCCCAATGCAGTCACTGTCCATCAGTGTAGTAAGATGCCACAGATCCACTATGTGACTTCTCTGTGCTACACTGTTCTCCCCGTGATCCCCCACACCATGTGTACTAAACATAATACCCCTCAATCCCCTTCTCCCTCCCTCCCCACCCGCCCTCCCATACCCCTCCCCTTTGGTAACCACTAGTTCATTCTTGGAGTCCCTAGTCTGCTGCTATTTTGTTCCTTCAGTTTTGCTTCATTGTTATACTCCACAAATGAGGAAAATCATTTGGCATTTGTCTTTCTCCACCGGGCTTATTTCACTGAGCATAATTGTCCTCCAGCTCCATCCATGTTGTTGCAAATGATAGAACTTCTTTCTTTCTTATGGCCGAATAGTATTCCATTGTGTATATGTACCACATCTTCTTTATCCATTCATCTACTGACAGACACTTAGGTTGTTTTCATATTCTGGCTATTGTAAAAAGTGCTGCAATAAACATAGCGGTGCATGTATCTTTTTTAATCTGAAAAGTAGTATTCTTTGGGTAAATTCGAAAGAGTGGGATTCCTGGGTCCAATGGCGATTCTATTTTTAGTTTTTTGGTTTTTTTTGAGAGGGCATCTCTCATATTTATTGATCATATGGTTGTTAACAACAATAAAATTCTGTATAGGGGACTCAACGCACAATCATTAATCAACCCCAAGCCTAATTCTCAACAGTCTCCAATCTGCTGAAGCATAACGAACAAGTTTTTACACGGTGAACAAGTTCTTACATAGTGAATAAGTTCTTACATGGTGAAGAGTGTAAGGGCAGTCATCACAGAAACTTGCAGTTTTGATCATGCATCATGAACTATAAACAATCAGGTTAATTATGATTATTTGTTTGATTTTTATACTTGATTTATATGTGAATCCCACATTTCTTCCTTATTATTATTATTATTATTATTACTTTTTTAATAAAATGCTGAAGTGGTATGTAGATGCAAGATAAAGGTAGAAAGCATAGTTTAGTGCTGTAAGAGGGCAAATGCGGATTATCAGGTGTGTGCCTGTAGACTATGTGTTAATCCAAGCTAGACAAGGGCAACAAAACATCCACGGATGCAGAAGATTTCTCTCAAAACAGGGAGGTGAGGTTCTAAGCCTCACCTCTGTTGATCCCTAATTTCTCACCTGACGGCCCCCCTGCGATTGTGCCTGTCTTAGGTTGTTCGTCCCTTGAGGAATCTTAACCCGTCTCTGGCTAACCAGTCATCTTCCGGGGCCATACGGGAAAATGTAAAGTTGGTAAGTGAGAGAGAAGCAATATTGTTTGAAAAGGTTAGCTTTTTACTTCTTTGAAGATTTATTCCCTGTGGCTTCTATGCCCAGCATTTGTCTTGAGGTATCTTTACCACTTGGAAGAATTGTGATACTCGGTAATTTCTATATGAGGCACGAATTCTACTTAGGGGTTGTAATTATGAAGGAAGAAGAAAAGCT